TACTTACTTTAAACGAATGGACCTGTGTCAATCATTTCATGAAGGAATTTTCTACTGTGTCAATGATGATGATAGTATCGTATTAACAGAAATGTCTACTCTCTCCACACTCTAGCTACTGCTGTGATATTTAAATAAACACTTACCTATTGAAAAGGGATACTTTGCCTTTCAGAAGTTCCTTTAGTGAGTGGTAGTTTAGCCCTAAAGCTTCATTACTAACATGTCGCCATAATCTTCCTCCTGGCTTGTTATGCTAACATTTACGACGATGTTAGTTAGTATTTCAAAAGAATCTTTCGGCGAATTAAATCCAAGAATCTGTAAGACAAATTGATCGAGTTATCAACTCAGTTAGTCTTGCTTCTGATTCATATTCATTTAATAAAGTAATTTACTTACAATTCAGCAAGTCAATGGAATTTCACCACATGGCTTGAAGAAGGAAGGAAGGAAGAAAGCGTGAAGTTTCATTGGACCGATCATGGTTAGTCAAGATTTCTCTCTCTTCATTAAGTTGAATCGGATTTCTCTTGAGTAGTTAGTAAGCATCGTTAGGCAATCTAACCATTAGATCGATGAATAAAGGCACTGTTGACTAACGTAGTAAAACACCCAGTCACGCATTCCATGTTTTCTTTTCCATGCTAAAAATGAGTTCTATCAAGATACGAGGACTGTGGAAGGCACAATCGCTATGCAAGTAATAGTAATGTAAGTGAGGTAAATTGGCTTAGCTTTACCGCTTTTTTTGCAATAGTAGTATTTGTAGATCTTCAATGATCAAGTGTCATACTTTCTGCACAGTTCTTACATTAGTAGGTCCCGCCATAGTATCAACAGCCACAAAAGTCGCTATTTTTCGCCAGTTTTACAGCCAATATATTGCAAGTTACGATAGATTGAGAACTTGCATGAGTGGAAAAGGCGTTGGAAACAATTTCGTCCATGAGCCAACGTTAAAATCAGTTAAAACGATACAAGTGAAAAAATACCTCTATGGTTAAAAGATTGATCCAGCTTTATAACCAACAATGTAGCCATAGCTTGGAAAATTACAGTATGGACATGGTATTGGCATCTATTGCAACTGGTGTATTTGATCATTCAGTCAGGTTTTCAGGCCAATTTCACCGCATTCTATCGTTTCGATCAAGACAAGGTTAGCCAAGACTGAATAATTCTGGCTGAATAATAAGAATGGCAAGCCAATGCAATTAGACTTGGTTCAATCGATCAACCATTTTAATGTTGCTTATTGCATTGGCCTCAAGTTGATGTAGAAACAGTTTAAGAAGTTTTATCCAGTAAGGTATTGAATGGCATATGCCAGCATGGAGACCGTTCCAATTCTGTAGTCGATTCCGTACTTTTCAGCATTTTTAGAGGTAATGGTGAGTGAAAGCGAGTCCTGCAGCGTACTGCAAACTTCTCCACGCATTTCTTGGCTATAAAACTAGTGATAATCCTTCTGATGTCAGGCTCGACTTGAATATTTTGCAGTCGTCGTGTTGGTGCAATCATCATCGATGTGGAAGGAGTCTGATGACTAAATCGCCGTACTAAATCATGCCATCATCACCGATAACTCTATGACTATTTTATCCATTCGTTTTTCAAAGTAGATTGGAAACTTTGTGTCTTTGGTATATAAACAGCAGTGAATTCAATGCTAATGACCATCTAATAGTAAATCGTTGAAAATGGCTACGGCCATAAACCAGTTGAAAGGATTCCTCACTGCATGTAGAAAATGTACCTTGGTGAAAGTTGTGAAATGCATTCTTATGCAACATAGAATCAGTTCTCTTGTAAATTCGTTAATGGCCAACATGACTGACTGATAGTGACTTGATTGGATAGCTGCTAGTTTATAGCTGTGTCAGCAAATACTTTACAATTGGAAATCTGCTCGCCTATAAAGTTGTCTACAATGACCATCAAAAAATGGCTACACAATCCAAAGAAGTGATGATTATATTTGGTTACTTGGTATGCCCTACCTAACACTATCGAGTGCGGTGTTGTTACTCAATAAAATGCTTTAATAAAGGATAATTTCGACGGCGAATTTTGACTACGCCTTCAACAGTATCATATTGACCATTTTGTTGGACATTATGATATGTCCTCTCTCTTCAAATTTAGTAGTTCTTGCTACTTGTATCGAGTAGAGTACAGTATATAAAGTTTTTGAACTGGATGATAAAGTAAAGTTAATGCTGTAGATTATGGGCCATTGGTCAACAGTCGTGCCTGCTGTGTCCTGAAATAACAAACTACGGTCAACAAAATAACCAATTGCCCAACTTTAACCACAACGAAACCTTGAAGGCAAGCGAAGAAATGACATTTGCTCTGAACCCGTACAAGCCTGGCACAGCAATTGCTGCATAGTTTCAATAGTATCTCATAGAACACTTGGGCTGAAATGGCGCCTTGAAGAATCATGAATTTGGACATATCCAACAACATGCACATGGCAGAATATCATTTCACCACCATTATATTTGTACGCGCATATTGAGGGTTGAAAATCGATTACCTTTGAACTGGCTACGTTGTAGGGAACATTTTTTGCCTAATGTAATAGGATTTTTAGTGGGTAGAAGTTTACTCGTATGCCATCTTCAATTCTATTTGGTTCTATTTGCTGACTTTGCTCATCGTTAGAATAAGCAGCACACAGTGGAATTGATAGAATTATACCTACATTTTGGCAAAAAAAAAAAGCATCAAACTATCATTAGTCAGTAATGAAAAAATTAAATTGGTAAGTTTGACATTTGCTTGAATTTCTATCACATTATTCGTTAGTGCACCTTTAAAATGTCATGACCT